GGCGCGCGCCCGTGCCCGGCCCCCGCCCGCGCCGCCGCGCGAGCTCCGGAGTGGGCTGCGGTCACTGCGCGTCCCGGCGCGGGGCAGACGCCGGCCGGGTGGGCGGCGAGGAGTGCGCTAGCGGGACGACGGGGGCTTCGACGCCGGCCAGCCCGGCCCAGCGCGCTCGGCTGGGAAACTTCTGCGGGCGCAAGGCCGGAGCTCTGCGCAGGGTCGGGGAAGGAAAGGTAAGGAGGGGAGCCCGGGAGCGCCTCGGCGGCCGCCTCCCAAAACCACTCCGCACACTCGCATCTCGCGCGCTTTTTCGCGGGCGCGGCTTCTATCCGGGCCCCGCCCCAGGGTGGGGGCTGCGAGGCCGCCGACCCCCGGGAGCGCCTTTGCTTCGCCGCTCTGTGCTCCGCGCTGCCTGCGCTGGCCGCACCGCCGCTCCGCTCCCGGCCCCGCTCGGGCCAGTTCGAGCCCAGGAGGCCGGGTGGCGCCGCTCGCAGCTCCGCCGGCGGGGAGTCTGCTGCTGAGGGCTCCGCGCGCACCGGCCCCTGGGAACTCGAGTCGTCCGCCCTAGAGGCGAATCTTTCCCCCAGATCTTCTGTTAGCCCCACTCTTGCCCAGGCACCTTGGAGCCCAAAGAAAAAGGCCAGATTTTCGAGGTTGAAAAGCTGGTCCCAGGGGCCCTGACAGTCTTAGGTTTCATGGGGAAGTGCAGCGGTTGGGAGTTCCTTTCCCTGTCTGCTAAGGGCCTGACTAGGGTCAGTGTTTCACACTGAGTTGGGGACACGCGAAAGCTGTCTCATCAAAGGTCACGCTGACCTGTTTTTTCTATTTGGGGATCCACCTTGGGGAAAAAAAAAAAAAGGAAGGAAGGAAAGAAACAAAACCACTAAATTACCTCATCACCAAGGTCAGTTATAGAGGTAAAATACATTTTGAGGGTCTGTATTTTAGGAAAAGATTAAAGGCACAGAATCAAAATACGGTAATAGCGCTATGGCAAAACAACAACAAAAAACTGTTTTAGCCAAGGAGACATTTGCAAAACATGATAATGTTCTACATGTGAATAATAAATGGAAAAGTAGAATTAGAAGCCCACTCTTGAACATAATCCAACTTGATTTAGTAAACATCTAGAATGGGACAATCTTTCTTCCTTCCTGACTTTTTATTCTAACTCTTCTAGTTAGGTATTTTGAATTTGCAGGCTTGGACAGGGCAATCTCATTTTATGGCAGTCTTAAGAAATTATTGGTCTCGGTTCATACTAAGGTTTGGTGGTGACTCTTTTCTGTTATTTTTAATATCAGGGAGTGTTGCGTGGTCATATCCCTTGTGTGACAGTACAGTAACTTGGCATTGTTCTTTGCGGCAAAAGAAAACCAAACGAGAAATACATGGAACAAAATATAAGCAAAACAAAAATTGGATCTCCTTCCACATTTGCAGAATGAAGAGGTCTGGCTGATCCCAGATGATTTTAAGGCTCTTTTCCTTCCCTGAAGACTGGAGAATTTAGGATACAAATACAAATTGAAATGTAGAGTAAGACATTTTCTGTCCTAAAATTTAAACCTATAAACTGGGAGACACTGGAGAGTTGAGTTTCTTTAATCTCAGCCGTGTCTCAAAATAGCTGAATCATTGTGCATCCTGTGCTTCTAAATGGTGACATTCTATGCTTATCAAATCATAATGTGTCCTGGAAAACCAAACTTCCATGCTTCTTAACCACAAGATGCCTAAGAGCATTGACACACTAGAGCATTCACGTCTGCTTATTTTGAAATAGTCAAGATCAAGAATGGTTATGAAGTGTTGGCTGTGGTGTGTGAGTGTCACAACACGTAAGCAACATGGCAGGCAAGAAGTTTCAAAACTGCTTTGGAAAATATCTATGATAGATTGATCTGCAAGCCTGCAAATTGCAGTTGAAATTGGCTTTTGTAATTATGGTTGTTGGTCAACTAAGATTAGGAGCTATAGAGAGTAAGTAAGAATTGACAAGAGTATACTGAATCATTTAGATTTTTTTTTTTTTTTTTGAGGAAAAGGGAAAATGTTTCTCTATGTTATCCAAGTAGTTACAGGAAAATGTCTTTTTTTTTTTTTAAAGATTTTATTTATTTATTCATGAGAGACAGAGAGAGAGAGGCAGAGGGAGAAGCAGGCTCCCAAGGAGCAGGGAGCCCGATGTGGGACTCGATCCCAGGACCCTGGGACCATGACCTGAGCCGAAGGCAGAGGCTTAACCATCTGAGCCACCCAGGCGGCCCAGGAAAATGTCTTAAAGTGAAAGTTATAATAGGTATTTTTATTCTTTTTGAGATTTTATTTATTTATTTGTCAGAGAGAGAGAGAGCACAAGCAGAGGGGACTGGCAGGCAGAGGGAGAAGCAGGCTCCCCACTGAGCAGGGAGCCCGATGCAGGGCTCCATCCCAGGACCCTGGGATCGCGACCTGAGCCGAAGGCAGTGGCTTAATGACTGAGCCACCCAGGCGTCCCATAATAGGCATTTTTAAAAATTAAATAACCGAAAGTTGCTGACTTGAAGCCCCTATAACAATGCTGGATCGCCCTCCAACCCAAAGAATACAGGGATTGATTCACACAGACCCAAAGTGAGACCTTCTCATTTTGTTCTTCTTCATTTATATTCTTCAACAGAATAATAACCTCTGGTGACTCTTACACACAGTATGAAATTGGTTCTAGAAAGACAATCAACTGGCTGAGCCTAGGCAAGAATCTTCATTGCTCTGAGCCTCAGTTTTCACTCCAAACAATGCTGATAAAACTACTGAGGTTGTAGAGGTGTTGTGACTGCTAAATGGGTCAGTAAATGGAAGACCTGGTGCCTGGGACATAGTAAGAACACAACTAGTTGTAATTTTCCCTGTCTCCCTTAATAGGTGTTTGCTTACTAACTGCACAAACTATAGGATGAACATTAGTTACAGTTTTTGCTTTTAAATTCAAAAACTCTATGTAGCAAAATCTTGATAATTGTTGAATCTGGATAATAGGTATATGGAGATTTAATAGCTAGTATTTTCTCTATCTTTGTATGTGTTTATTAATCAGAAAAAAAAACTAAGCATGGATCTGGAAAAAACACATAAGATACATTTCTAATCTTACACTGCATTTTAAATTGCAATTTAAAAATTGTTCTATATGGCCTGGAAGGATAAACACAATTATATATAAGAAGTGAGTGGGGCGGGAAATGGTACTTGAGAACAGTCCATGGAGGTCTTCAATTTTTGTGGAATTTTTTTTTATTATAAAAAAGATTTTTACAATGACAATGATGTTTATTAATTCTGGTCATTGGGTTCATGGATTTTAATTCTTTGAAATTTTGTATTTAAAAATTTTCAAATTAATATAAAATCACCTTATTATTTTATAAAATTGTTATAAAGAATGCAAACAATACAGATATCCACAAAGACAAAAGTCAAGTATCCCACTATCCAGAAATCATCTTTAACATTAAGTGTATAGATGGATATAGATCATGTATTAACTAATATGTATGTATTAATATGTAACATGCTACTCCAGGGACACAAATAATGTTCTAGGGTTTGTTTGTCTAATGTTTGTTTTCAATCTTTGACGGACATTCTAGAAAACAAGCTTATTTGCATTTTGCTTTATGAGACTTTAGACAGTCTCTTAAAATGTAGTATTTATTTAAAACTTTATGCAATAACTGACTTTAAATGAGTTTTAAGTAGCTTAGGTTTATTTGCATATGAGATATTTTTAGCTATTTAAAATAGATCTCATAATTTGAAAGTAAGCTTAAATTGTATCAACATTTGAATTTCACTAAAATGCAAGCTCCAGGAGGGCAGGGATTTATCGAATTATTGCATATTAATTAATATTTTCCTGGCCATTTGAAAGTTGATGACACAGTCAATTATGTTATAATGTTTGTTTTGAAATTAAGCATCATGTCAATGCAATGGAAATCTTAGGGAACAACTTGAGCATAGCACAGATTTTTTGCTTGCTCGTGCATCATTTACTCAGCCAGAACACCATGTGAACACATTAAACTATAACCAGCTGACTTAAGCCATGTAGGAATACACAAAACACAAATACACGTACACCTGAAACATCTCCCAGCTACCTTGGTTCACCACAGGTTATCCTGCAAGATTGTGTTCTGCTGTTCTTTTGCAGTGGTGAACTTTTCTCTATAAAAACACACCCCTTCAGCATCCCAAGAATGTCTAAGCATCTTTTTTTTTTTTTTTAAAGATTTTATTTATTTATTTGACAGAGAGAGACACAGCGGGAGAGGGAACACAAGCAGGGGGAGTGGGAGAGGGAGAAACAGGCTTCCCGCCGAACAGGGAGCCTGATGCGGGGCTCGATCCCAGGACCCTGGAATCATGACCCGAGCCGAAGGCAGACGCTTAACGACTGAGCCACCCAGGCGCCCCATGTCTAAGCATCTTGATTCAACACGTCAAATAGTGCACACAAAAGGAAGGCTTCAATATTGAAGAGAAACTTGAAATAATCAAACATTTCAAAAGGATCAGGAGAATATGTGAATTTCCAGCAGAAACAAGGGAATAATTTACATTGCTTATCCACAGGCAGCGCTGCCAAAATAAGAGGAACATCTATGGTTGGAATACGCTCCAGTATTACAAAGTCAAGAAAAACAAGGCCAAAAGAAATAGAAGAAATGGAAAGATTGTAGAACATGTGGATTGAGAACCAAACAGGAAACGGTCTCCCACAATCAAAGAGAAAGCTCCTTTGTCTGTGCAAACACCTTGAAAGGAAATCTCCATACCCTGCAGGAGTGCTCCTTTTAGCACCAGTAGTGGCTGGTTTGGTGGTTTCAGACATCACTGACCCTGATGCGTGGTCCACCTGGTTATTTAGCCAGAAAAAATGAAAGAGACTCTAACCAGTTAGCTAGATCACGTGAGCTTGTTACGCATGTTTGTCAGGAAGAAACATGAGAACCTGAACTAAATAAACATAGAAAGGTGAGTTCATTTGCTGCATATAAGTCACTTGGAGGAAAAGGAAGTGAAGGTGTCTACCTTTGATTCATATCAAGAAAAGACTGTTTAATGGATCCATGGGTCCAGCTTGTCTTGCATTTTTCAGCATGAATCTCTGGTGGACTTAAGGCATGACATGAGAGCAGCTGCTCAAAAGTCTGCTTGTGCTTTTAACCATTTCCAGTTTAAGGAGAACTTGGAGCAGAGCATGGGGATTGTTTATTAAAAGCAATCAAATGACATGGTTGAGAAGGAGAGGTTTACTGCTGTTTCATCAAATGAAGAATTATAGGACACTGAGTGATTCAAGACGGGACCCACCTTCCTAACCCTGTGTTGCTCAAAAAGTTGTAATTTCTTAAGAAGACATTTAAATTCATTGAATCTAGAGCTGAAGGGAGAAAACAAGAATGTTGTTGATTTGTTCCAGTAAGTCCAGATATTTAGATTCAAACTGTACATGAAGCAGTGTGTTATTATTTGCATCTGTCTGCCTGGGAGTGATTCTGGGCTCTATCATTTGTGTATCCTTAGGCAACCTAACTTCCCTATACCTCAGTTTTCTCATCTGTAAAATAGGGACAATAGAACTATATATTTCAAAAAGTTGTGAGGATTAAATGACTTAATATTTTAAGAGTCTTAGAATCATGCCTGGCACATAGTAAGTGCTCAGTAAATGTTAGATGCTGGTAGTAGCCGTAATAGTAGTAAATGAGGTTCAAGAAGATGGTGACTAGCTTTGCGTTAATTTCCCATTGCTCAACTCATCTGAATGTGGTGGAGTCCCACAACTAGAAGATTTACAGAGCTATTTGAGTTTCTGTAGTCTGTCTTTGAGTGTTAATCTCTAGATGTGTCTGAGATACCAAGTATTTGCCCTATACATATGGCTCAGTTTTACAAAGAACTAAGCAGGAAGTCCCACCCAAGGAAACTTGGTATTCCAGGCATTTTGGAGATTGTATATGGATGACATAATTATTCTGGAAATTGCCCATGTGTCCAAATGCTTAACAGTGTTGGGGCTGTCTGACTCCACTGAAGGAGAACCTGTAATAAGTTGCTGGTAACCTTAGTGAATTTACATGTAATTCCCAGGGCCTCTCTTAGTGTCTTGTTTTCCAAATACTATTCTTCAAAAGTATTACTGTTCTTAACTGGTTTTCCTGATTTAAATCTAGCAAAGATTGAGTGTCTTCTTCTCCATAGATCTGTTTTCCAACTCCATCATAAAATGTAGATTATTAAAGTCTCACGTATAGTAAGTACTCATAATTGTGTGTATTAGTTTCCTGCTGCTTTGTAACAGTACCACAGGCTAGTGGCTGAAAACACCACAAATCCATCATTGCATAGTTTTTGTGGGTCAGGAGTCCAGGCACAGCTGAGCTGGATCCTCTGCCTTGGGTGTTGAGAGCCTGCTATCCAGGTGTCAGCCTCACTGCACTCCCCATTTGGAGTCCAAGGACCTCTTCCAAGATTTTCAGGTGGTTGGAGGAATTCACCTCCTTGCGGTTTTAGGACTGACATTCCCATTATCTTGGTAACTGTTAGTTGAGGACTTCTTTCAGCTCCCAGAGACCGCTGGCCATTACTTGCTGGCCATTACTTGCTCTCTTCCAGGCCAGGAGGAACACGACTCTCCAATTTTCAATCCCTCTCCAGTCCTGCAATCTTATATAGCTTAATAATCACAGGTGATTATTCCAGCACCATTTGTCATATAATGTTACCTAATCAAGAGAGTATCTGTCCCATCCCATTCATAGGTCTGCCACACTCAAGGAGAGAGGATTATTGCATGTGTGCACCAATGAGACAGGAATCCTGGGGACCATCTTACAATTCTGCTTATGTGATAAAGTGAGAAATCAGACACAGCTGCAGGTAATCAAATGGACTTTAGCGAAGACCTGAGAATCAGAGAAGTCCAGCATGGGCTATAGGCATGTTCTCTAATTTTCTCAAGTCTCAAGAGAAGCCAAGCTCTCATTGGTATGGAAGGTCAAAGGCATATTCCAGCCCAGAAGCCTAATGGTGCATGAAGAAACTCATATATTATATGAAAACAAAGGCTGGTATAGACCCTTTGGAATCCAGAAGGCCATAATTCAATCTCCACTACAAAATTTATGAGATTATCTGTCTGGGATTTCCAATGTATTCCATGAAGTATCATCAGAAGATGAAACGAGAAAATGAAACAATGTGATATAGTTGCTTGGGAAAGTGTAATTCTCCTAAGGCAAAAGGAAAAAGTAGTGACTTCCTTGGTAGGATGAAGAGGCCAAGAGCTATAGTGGGGTTGGCCACCTATGTAGGCAGAAACCAGATGGCGACATCTACGCCACAGATAACATCTGATGATTGTAGCATATGAATATTGTAGCCAATATCATTTACATTTATATCAACTCTCTGTTCTTAATCTTAGATAATTCTCCCATATTTATACACTTATACATTATACATATGCACTGTTTGCACAGTGTCATGCCAAGTCTTTTTCATTTCCTTTCTCTGTTACTTGAGAGGCTCTAGACTAGCACTGTCCAAGAGAAATATAATGCAAGCCACATACATAATTTTAAATTTTTTAGTAGCAACATTAAAAAATAAGACATGGGCAAAATTAACTTTAATGTCTCATTTAACCCAATATCTCTAAAACATAATCATTTCAACATATAGTCAACATAAAAGTTATTAATGACATACTCTATCTTTGTGCTAAGTCTTTGAAATCCATGTGTATAACACATCTCAATTCAGACCAGGCACATGTGGCTAATGGCTACCATATTGGACAGCACAACTCTAGAGTTCTATCTAAGGCCTTGGATCATGGGCATTAAACTTCAACTCTCATTCTCTCTGCACTCACTTTCTAGCTAATCTCGCCAACTCCAGGCTTTCTTCAGTATTGTCCTGTGTAATAGTAACTATTAAAGATCCCTCTGTCTTGCCCCTTATCTTCTGCTGTGAACTCTGTTGCTAGACCAAGAGTATTAGGTTAATTGAGGATAAAACTGTGTTCCCCTTTCCTCTGATTTCTTTCCAAACTTTGGGATCTCTTAAAATTCCAAAGGGTCTTCAACCTTTCTTTGTTCCTCTGTCTCAATAGAGACACTTCTTCCTTTCACTTCTTCCTCATAGTATAATATATGCTTTCCTTTCTTTCTAGTCCAACATCTAAATCATTGATTCAGGTATTAGTCACATCTCACTTAGGCTTCTTACTTGTTCCAAAACTATTCTGAACACTGCATTTATACCTGAGCATTGTTATCCTTATCAGTCATTGAACATTTATTGAAGACTCACTGTGTTCTAGACAGAGGGGAATTCCATATATGTTTCCATATACACATATGTAAAATAACCAACTAATAAAGCTGACATTTATATGACTAAATATATATGACCAATGACTATATATAATACATATTACATATTACATGTGTATTATTTTTATGGTCAATATAACATAATATATGATGGAAGCCATGTTGACAGATAATAAAGGCCATAAAAATTCAGAACTAGAAGGTGCAAATTCAGGCCACCCTGTTGAGGAAAGGCTGCTGCAGAATATCCACAAGCCTTGAGCCCTCTTGGAATGATGAGTGGCAAGGAAGGAAAATGCCTCCCCACCTGAGCAAAGCATGGGAATGAGAACACACAAGGCAAAAATGTGCCTTTCCAGCTCCTTCAAAGTAAGAATTAAAATTAGATCCTTTACCCTACAGACTGTTCTGGTGTCTCTCAACCTCACCCCCTAATAGTTCTTAACCCTTGTTACATGTCAGAACATTCCAGTGCCTGGGCCCCGCCACAGTCCATAAGTAATTAAATAAGTGGTCTCTAGAGTGGGGCCTCGATCATAAACTTGGTGTTAAGACCTGCAGTAATTCAGTTCCACTACTCAACTCTGTATTTTAACCCATGCTAGGAAAAGTCTTCTATTCCTTATCACACATAGGGTCGTGTTATTTTAGAGCCAAAAGGACCTCACATTGTTTTGTCCAACACTTCCATTTTACCAATGAGGAAACAGGTCTAGTAAGATTAAAATCACACAGCTATTTAGGGGCACGGCTAAGACTAGAACCTTTCTTTTAAGTAACAGGGTGAACTGAACCAATAGACACAGAATGGAGCGTTAACACCAGCACTACCGTCCTGGGCAGACAGTGAGGGATCAAAAGCACAAGAGTAATCTGCATAGAAGGACAGCCAGTGGTCAGCCAGGAAGGAACAAAGCTGAGGTCCTGCAAACAAACAAGGATAATTCAGAAATCATGCAGGAACAACATAAAATAATGGCACTCAAACTTCAATGTGCGTAAGAAATCAACTGGGAGCTTATTAGAAGGGCATCTTCCTGGGTCCCTTCCTGGCCCAGTAATTCTGGGATGGGCCCAGGGAAGATACATTCTAACAAGCCACCCGGGTGACACTTAACATCAGTGATTTGAGGATCCCTGCTGAGAAGCACTGAACACTTATCTGAGGCAGAAGAGTATTGTTGTCTTCCAGAGACTGGCTTCTTGGCCATTGGAAAGTAAAGACTCAAGGGTGGGTTGGTTATAGGGGTACCCCAATCAGCCATAGGAGGTCGGGACACAGAGAAGAACAACAGAGATCACCCCTGCAGGAATGAGTAAATTTAGAATTTAAAATTTAAAGTTGGGTAGCCACCAAAAGTAACATTTGCATTTCTGTATTCAATTGTAATCCTCTGGGTGAAAGAACGCTTTTAAAAACTAAATTCTCCAAAAGGCTCAGCTCTGTAAAATACAAGCAACAAGTACAGCGATGCTATCTCTATATTATTTTTAAATTTGCCAAGAAGTTTTAATATAGATTTCCTCATTTGAGTCTTGTAGCACCCTTTAGAGTGGACAGAGTAGGTGATATTACCTCCGCTTGACTGATGAATAAACATGCCTGAGTTCATCTAAGTAGCAAGGAGGAAATGAATGCCTACATTTTCTAAATCCTGGTACTGTGGGAAGCAGAATAATAAATATGATTTAGTCTGAGCTTCAGAATCAGGCAGGACTGGGTGGAATGTTAGTCCCAAGATTAGCAATGCGACCTTGAACAATTTACTTACCTTCTCTGGGTTTCAATTTTCTCATCTGTAAGATGGAGATATAGTACCTTCTCGATGGGGTTGTTGTGAAGGTTAAGTGAGATAATTCTTGAATACGCCTGGCATGTAGGTCCTGAGTAAGTGTACCTCCTTGAGGATAAGTAGAGAAACCAGCTTTAAGTAAATGATTATTTTGCATATGGAACACATACCAAAGTTAGGACCTATTCCAATTAATGAGTAGAATATTGATGGAATTTTTATCTCCTGGGTTGCCTAGCAACCAAAACTAACGCAGTGCCACAAGCTACAAGAGTTGTTGTTTTTTAATCAGATTAAAATTCAGCTGCTCTTAAGGAGCTCAATTTCTATGAAGACAAAAGGATTCCCCTATGAATTTGGAGCTGTGCCAGACATTTAAATAAGCAGTGTCCCACCTCCTTAGTGATTTTGTACCGAAATGCCTTGGATGTTGGGATATTCCCTACCTCTTTTCCCCTGGGTGACGGAAGATGTCAGAACATCCATTAAATTGGATAGAGTAGGCCTGGAGAAGGCAGAATGCTTGTACCTGGATACCAGTGTGGTCAATCAACGTTCCGTGAGTGCCAGAAATACAAAAACAGTTGTCTTTGCCCCGTAAGAGTTTCAGGAGCTAGGAGAGGAAGTCAGTCAGTGTTGAATAATAATACAGCAAATTATTTCATGAGTGGCTTTCTAGGTCTATTTCCCTGGCTCGACGGTAAGCATTATGGCAGATCTTAAATATTCAGTGTTAGGATGATTATTTTCCTGGCAAACCGGTCCTGACAGAATATCCCACTGTCTCCCAACACGTTCATATCCGATTCACAGCCTTGAAAAGGGGCCCTGCCTGCTGGTGAGGGATGGCGCTGAGCGGACAGGGACTCCTACCTGGGACTTCTGCCTCACTTACCTCAAGCCAGTTACTTAGCCGATCTTGTGCCCTGCTTTTCTCATTGGTAAGCAGAGCATGATAATTTAGATTCTGCCTCCCTCGTGGCAACAAGTGTGACGCGATGAGATAATAAACGTTCAGGCTGTGAACAGATAAATGCCATTTCTGAGCTAGTCTTAATCAGTTGGTCCCAAGTCTCCATCCTATTTCACGGAGCATCCTTGTACCTGTCTTTAAATGTCCTCATTCCTCTATAACTCAGGGTCTCACAGCCTAAGGTAAGTAAAAAGGGGGGAACTGGGAATTATTGTGTTTATTTGCACTTAATTTTGTCTCCATCATTTGTATCTCCGTGTGCTAATTTCTCTGGCGGGGAAGATGTGCTTTCCTGCCAAAGAAATCCATCGTGCCACTTTGGCATCTCAACATTTATTTACCCAAAAACATGACTTAAGGCCTCCAGGCTTTTCAAGCAGGCAGCTGGTTGATGAATCATGTTCAGTCGTGGAGTGCTGCTGGCCCATATCAGAGGAACACTCATGCCTGTCACCTGCCCCTGTCAGTTCTTTCTCTTCTAATAAAATACATCTGCTTTGGTGACTGAATAAAAACACACCGAGGGCAGAAAGGCTGGGTGTGGAGTAATTTAATCAGGGCAAGTCAGCACTCTGTGTTGCTGTGTGGAGTGCCTACAGCATGAAGGATAGGAAAATGATTTGGTAGTAGCTTCTTGAAACAGAAGCCGCCAGAAAGGGCTGGAAGCGCAGTTCTTCTGATGATCACGATGGGTCACCCTCCTGGAATGCAGGTGGCCCAACCTATCCCCCAAGTCCGGATCGTCAGGGGACAAGATTCCCAGAAGCTGCCTTCTGCATTGCCACAAGGTTTTACACGGCCGTTCTCTATTAGCATCATTTTAACATTCTGTTGAGGATTATAAATTTTTAAGGAAGGTCAAACCAAAGTTCAGAGCTCTGGCAGCAGCGCTTTTTAATATTGACTTTAGTGGCTGTGTTAGGTATCCTGAGGAACTGATTAATTTAAAATACCCTAGTTTTAAAAGTAAAACAGCAGGGAGACTGACATTTGCAGTCTGGTATTCTGCAGTTCTCACTACTCATTGTATTAAAAAAAATTTTTTTTTCTTTGTTGTGAATATCCAGTAGTATGTAATTTTGTGTTGCATTTAAAGAGGAGAAAGTAAACACGTTCGGGGTGCTGGTCTGCCCCGAATCGCATCATCTCACATGAGCGATGGGGGGAGGCAGGATTTAGGGGGCATGGGATGTTTAAAGTACATTTGAAAGTAGCTTAAGTACAAATAGCAATATAAGTTATAGGTCTGTGGTTTGTTTTTTGTTTTTTGTTTTCTTTTTTTAATGATTCACCTGCTGATGCTCTTAAAGTCCTTACTTGCTGAGGAAGGAATCACTATCCAGGATGAAGAATCAGGAACTCCAACAACAGTGGCTCCTTTATTTCCATTTCTAATTCTGTTGGTGATTATACTGTTCCCTTTTTTACTTCAGCTAAGTCATTTTCACTTCTCTGTGTGTATTTTTTTTTTTTCTATGAGACAAGATCTGTGATACCCGATATTTTATTAACAGGTGTTCTGGAAATGATCTATCTCAAAAATAAAAACACTAAATATAGCAGTTAAGTTCAAGCCTTCTGAATGTTGTTATGGTTTAAAAATCCAATCCAATGAATGCTTCACATTGAAACTATTTCTTGTTAAGAAACCTGGGGATAAATGATATATATCCTACAGCTCTATCATCCTGGTTAAATCTCTCCTGACTCAGATCACACATTAGCATTTTTACCATATGGCTCAAAGGGTAGAGAATATATGTGCAGAGGAACAAATCGGTAACATTTTTTGACCATCTGGTAAATAAATGTGTAAGTAGCAGGAATTTTAATATTATTTGTTTAGTTATATGGGTACAGATTTAACTTGAAATAGCCTCTAATACAGTAAGGTAGATCTGAATTTATATTTCTCAAATAATTTTGATCTAATTCATGAAACATACTCATAGTCTACTCTGTGCTTTTAAAATCTGACTCCTAAGTATGTGTTTCTCATGTTTATTGTTTTATTAGGGCTCCTTAGAGTGCCTAATTTAAAATCTCTTTCCTGAGAAGCCACATGATTGGAGCCAGCATAGAGGCTTCCCTGCAGAAGTTCTGCTCTACCCCGACCACTGTGTGACCAGGGATAAATTAGCTGGCCTCTCTAAGCCTCGAATTTTTCATCTGTAAGAGTGAATAGCACTGTCAAACAGTATCTCCCAGAGGGTGGGCCATGAAAGGCCATGGACTGGTGTCTCAGAATCTTGGGGGGTATTGTCAAGACACCCAACACATAGGCCCGACCCCATCCTCAGAGATTCTGACTCAGTATGTCTGCACACAGCTTATGAATCTGCATTTTTAGTCACTGTCCCAAGAGATTCTGAGGTACACCAAGCTATTGTTATGAAGATGAGTTGATGATAGCACCTAGCTTTCTAGCAGAATATGTAGTTAGCTAATTCTAACAAATGCTAAAATTTCGGTAAATAATTTATTATTATTATTAAGCATAACCCTAAAAATAGACATCTTCTATCCTAGAAACTTAACAGCATTTGTGCCCTCGCTGTATTATTCCTTATAACTAATGCAAATATATAATTATGTCAAGATAAAATTTTAAAAAATATTCTAACTTCATAGAAAATAGCATATCAACTTGAATAGTAATGCTGGTGATTCATTTAAATATACCTCTCAATTTTCCTTCTTTAATTAGATCCTTCTTTTTTTTCTTGTCCAGGAAACCACAAAATATTTGTGGACTAGATCTGAATCAGGAGCCCAGATGTACTTAAAGAAGCTAGCATGGGATTTTTAGTTTTTCAAGATCTATACACACAAAACCCTTAATCACTACAACCCCAGTGTCCGGGCTGTCTCTGGTTTTATAAAGACATAGTGAAACTCTGAGGATGGAAAAGCAAAGGACTTAATTACTTGCTCCAATATCATCGAATGTCAACTGAAAAGTGAACCAGACAGAAGTACAGCCATGGAGAGAAATTCAAGTCTATGGAAGAACCTGATAGATGAACACCCAGTCTGTATCACCTGGAAGCAAGAGGCCGAAGGAGCCATTTATCATCTTGCCAGTATTTTATTTGTAGTAGGTTTCATGGGCGGCAGTGGATTCTTCGGGCTCCTTTACGTCTTCAGTTTGCTGGGGTTGGGTTTTCTCTGCTCTGCTGTCTGGGCTTGGGTAGATGTCTGTGCAGCTGACATATATTCCTGGAATTTTGTACTGTTTGTCATCTGCTTCATGCAATTTGTTCACATTGCATATCAAGTTCGCAGCATAACTTTTTCCCGAGAATTCCAGCTATTGTACAGCTCCCTTTTCCAGCCTCTGGGGACCTCTTTGCCCGTCTTCAGAACAATTGCTCTGAGCTCTGAAGTGGTTACTTTGGAAAAGGAACACTGTTATGCCATGCAGGGGAAAACCTCCATTGATAAACTCTCCCTGCTTGTTTCGGGAAGGTTTGTACTCTTGGTGCTTGCTCTATATTAGTTATTTCCTTTGTATTAGTTACTAGCTGGTGTTTCTTTCTGCTACACTTTTCCATCTCAGCATAGCACAGTCCTGGGCGGTTTTTAGCACCGTGAGGCATGAGAAACCCCTTGACATGTACGTGAGTCATGGACATAGGCGTTTAGAGTACATGCTGTTATTTACCTGAAGCAGGATATAATCGAGAGCCTTAATATTTCTTCTTAGAAATCAAATGTACAAATGGGTTTGTCTGGATATGCTATTTGTTTCCAGGCTAATCACTGAGAGTCAAGAAGACGATGATGCCAGCTTGAATTAATAGAATACTTATGTTGGCATGCAAAGTACTTTAAATAGACTGTGATAGGGCATTCTTTTAAGTAATAGAGAACATTTAAGTTTTATAATGATCAATTTTCTTCAGTAAATTCTAGAATTGCCCACTTGCTAGAAGCAGGGGGTTCACCATATATGATTTTTATATCTATCTTTGTATGTATATAAAGTTTGAAAACAGGAAGTTTGGGGAAACTTTAATGGAAACAATAGTGTGATTATTCATGCCTTTAAAAAGTTTAAATATTAGTCTACAGAGGTATTTACAGTGCCACTCCTTTATGTTCTTCAGTGTTTTCCTACTTAATTTAAAATCCAACTGCGTGCATTGGAACTTTGTCTTCAAGTATAATATATACACACAAATGGGCACATACCATCAATGTATACCTTGATGCATCGTCTGATGAATTTCACCCAATATTCCAGAATCCTAACTGTGTGAGGAACATCAGTACATGAATCTTAGAGGAGATTTTGTCACTTACTGTAATGCGTGAATTTAATATTTCATGCTACAAAATTTTAAAAGCCATAAAGACCACCGGAGATCTGAAATACTGCTCCCTCCCCCTTGCCTCCAATTATGGGCTTGCTTTCTCCTTCTCTCATGAATGATGTTCTTTGTTTTGGGTAGGATCAGAGTGACGGTTGATGGCGAATTTCTGCATTACATTTTCCCCTTCCAGTTCCTGGACTCTCCGGAATGGGACTCACTGAGACCCACAGAGGAAGGCATTTTTCAGGTAAGGGGTAACTAGACCACAGAGTGAACACCACCTCTTCCAAGCAGACAGACGTTTGTTTAAAAACAGGCTATGGTGAGCACTGTGAATTGTGTAAGACTGATGAATCACAGACCTGTACTCCTGGAACAAATAATACATTTTATGTTAATTAAAAATATATATTATAATAAAAAATAAAATAAAAATAAAAATAAGCAAACAAAACAGCAGATGACAGAGCAATAATTTATATTCAACTTTGGAATGTACTTTGCAGCATGTGTGACTTCGCAGCCCTGTTTGACTCTTGCTGATTACTGTCACTGTGTAGGTCCAGCGACAAGAAAAGGGATGGGCCTTGTATATGACAGAAAGGAGTCCATGATAGATGCTCTTAAATTTTCCTTTGCTTAGCTGCATATATGGAGATTAAAATATAATTAATTGAGATTTGACTATAAACTAAACACTGCCACTGACATGGTGGAGAAAAACACCAAGAATTTAAAAGTCTGCCCTTATTACAAAATGAGGAATTCCTAAAATTTAAAATGCTAATAGATTTTAGTTGTTTTCTAGCAAAAAAAAAAATGCTAAACTTCCTGTCACTACTCTGCTGCTGTGTCTGATAATTTCGAAAGATAATCACTTCAGTGGATTCTATTATGGTATTTTGTTTTCCTACAATTCATACATGTAACATTCATGTGTGTATGCAAATACAAATTCATATACGTATGCAGAATAGGTAAATAAATTCTATTTTGTGCTACAGAAACAATTAGAGTTAAATGTCTGTAGTCTTCGGGACTGACTTGGAACTACTTCTCTAACATTAGCCAACTTTATTATTTTTAGTAAAGTAGCTCTCACTTCAGTAAAAGGTAAAATATAGATACCCAGATTTTGAAAAGAGAGAAATTGGAAATGGGCACAATGTTGTGATTGTTCATGTTATAAATTATATATGTAGCAAGACATTTTGTAGTTTCTCCCCGTTTTTACAATATATTGTGAGTCAGTGAGCTTTTTTAACCTAAGAAAGCAGCAAGTAAAATTCATTTAAAATTGGGGCCAAAAAAAAAAAAAAAAGGCAGAATTTTTCTTGCTTCCTAATCTGTTTTTTTATGTGGCCTTATATATATATATATATATATTTTTTTTTTTTAGGTAACCCTCACAGCAGAAACTGATTGTCGATATGTGTCTTGGAGGAGAAAGAAATTGTATTTGCTCTTCGCTCAGCATCGTTACATCTCCCGCCTGTTTTCAGTTTTAATTGGCAGTGACATTGCAGATAAACTCTATGCCTTGAATGACAGAGTATATACAGGAAAAACATATCACTATGATATTCGGTTACCCAACTTCTATCAAATGTCAAGTCCAAAAATACGCAAATCACCCCTGACAGAACATTTCCGGAATTCCAGGAGGTATTGTGATAAATGACATCGAAGTCAGAAGTTTTATAATTATAGAAAAGACCCTCTTCATCATTCCCCAAATGAAACACAGAAAATCGTGCTCACTAACATTTTTACAAATCAAACAGGCAAGATGCCACCGTCAGCTGTTTTACTCATCTCAACTTCTGCATCATGAATAAAGTTTACAAATTTCTCTGTACTTCTTATTGGAACAAGTGGGGAGGCGGAGAATGAACTGTGGGCAATTTCTCCTTTTCTGTGTCAGAACTGGGAGAATGAAATTTTGTGTTCTCAAATATTTCCTCAGATTTATTCAAATCTGCTATCTTGCCCTATTGAGTTAGGCTTTGCTTCTCAAGAAGCAGCCAGAAAGTACTCTCAGCATGAGAGTGGGTTGTGACTGTCCACATCAGTGTTCCCAGAAGTCACTTTTTGCCACAACCTCTGATGAAAGCAAGGTGGATTATTATGGTGGGCAGCGATTATTTATTTTAAATGTGAAGGTATTTAATATGACGAGACAGTAGAATACATGCAAGAGATGATAATATGTCCATCTTGAAGGCTAACAACAAATAATTTATCAGCTCAGTCTTTCAATAACATTCGAAAAGAGGCATTTTGTGGAAGACAAAGATGCATACTAATTACAGAGTAAAAAGAATACCCAAGAACAAATAGTAAAAGCGTTGCACAGTATTTCAGTCTCACATGGTTAGCCAAAAGGGCAAGTGTGAATGGTCTGACTGGACAGCAAGGGACTCATAGCCAAAGCTCTACTCACCACACAAACGTGGGAGTCCCTTCGACGTTGCAAAGAAGAGCTAACAGATCCTCCATCTGATCCCTAAAAAAGAAAGATAAATCATCATGCATTTAACAAATATGTATTGAGCTCCTACTGTGGCTCCAGGTGCTGACCTGAGCACTAGCGATACACCAGGTAACAGATTCCATCCCTCATAGCACTTACATTCTGGGGTGAGAGAGGCCGATAATAAAATAAAACAGAAAAACCTGGAGTTGGAAAGAGTGTCACCATGGAGAGAGAGAAATTAGGGACAGTGGGTAGGATGGGGCATTGTCATTTTAATAGAATGGTCAAAGAAGGCCTGAATGAGAAGGTAATGTTGAACAGAGACTGAGGGAAGCAAAGGAACAATCCATGCAGACACCTGGGGAATGAGGAATCTGGGGGAGTAGAGAGAAAAGCAAATGAGAAGGCCTGTAGACATGCACAGGAACAGAGAGAAGGCAGCACGGCTACAACAGAATGAGCACTGGTGAGAGAAGGCAAAGAGAATTTGGGGCAGATCGGGTGGGGCCTAATAAGTCATGGTGAGGACTTCAACTTTTATTCTGAGAGTGACCAGAAGCCACCGGGGAATTTTAAATAGAAGGGTGGTGTGATCTACCTTATTTAATAAATTCAAGAGAATCACACTGGCCAGCCCAGTGAGAATGGACTGGTGGGGGAGGGGAACAAGAGTGGACTTGGAAGGCAGGATCAGGGTTAAGTGTGAGATGCCTACCAGACACAAGTAGAATAAATGGTTGGATGCGTCTAGAGTTCAAGAGAAAGGTCTGGGCTAGAGAGAAAGATTTGAGAGTATGTCGCCTACGGATAATATTTAAAGCCATGAGACTTAACTACATGCAGTAAATGTAGATTCAGAAGAAAAATTGTTGGGAGGACCTTTCCTTGGAGCACTTCATTGTTAAGGGGACAGGGAGATGGAGAAGAGTCAGCAAAGGACAAGAGAAGGAGCAACTAGTGAGGTAGGAAGAAAACCAGAAGCGTCATGTCCTGGAAGCCAAGTGAAGAAAGTGTTCAAGGAGAAAGGAGTGATGAGCTGTCTCAAATGTGGCCAACAGGTCAGGTGCTGTGAAGTCTGAGAATAAACCATGGGGTTGAGCAGCATGGAGGTCACTGGTGAACATGACAGGAACAGTTTTAGTGCAGTGATTGGGAACAAACACTTGACTAAAGTAGGCTGAGGGGAAATGAAAGGCAAGAAATTGGAAAAGCAAGTACAAGTAAGCTTTTCAAGGAGTTTTGATGTGAAGGGAAATAGAAATGAACAGTAGCCTGAGCAGGAAGTGGGGTCAAGAGAGAAGATGTTTTCCATTGTTGTATGTAAGGTAAGAGAAAGAATGGCATATTTGTATGCTGATGGAAATGAGCCACAAGAGAGGGGTGAATTGCTGGAGGGATGCCCTTGAGCAGGTGAGTGAGGATGGCATCCAGTGACCTTAAGCAGGAACACGGACAATCAGTCATGAGGAAGGAGGGTGGGCAGAAAGCACGAGGGAGCGCAGTTGCTGGCAAATGAGAGATGTACTGGGAGCTCGTGGACTTTCTCTCGTAATTACTTCTGTTTCTCAGTGACCAGGAAGCCAAGTGAGCAAGAAGGGTGGGGGAAGAAGTTTTGGGGTTATGGAAGGTACATTATCTTTCTGTACATTAGCATCTGCTGTAAGTGGGACAGTGTGACAAGGTCTGATCATTAGTCTGGATGAGCTATTGAACTCATCAAGTTCAGCGTGAACTAGAGGAATAGTTGGAGGGGTTATCTCCCAGCCCCACATGGCTATCGTGGGCATCCATGACACAAGCAGACACAATGGCAGCACTCTGCTCGGTACAACTGAAGGCCTTCCAGTATTAAAGCACACAGCATCCTAAGGAGAATCCACACCTTAAGTTGGTACCAGCTAATAATGTCACAGGTGTTATTTATCGGAGAGCTTCTAACCATGAAAATCAACTGAGAACAAACCACATAGAAATGGGATGTAGATTTTTGGTTTAAATCATGTTGGCAGAGGGAGCAGAAGAATTTACGTACAATTTTTCCAGAAATCTAACCATTTTTAGGATGAAGGGGAAGGAGTACAAACAGAACAGGCTAAAGGGATATTGAAAGAGGAGGTACGGAGTTGAACCTCACCATCTTCACACTTGGTAGGGCTAGCACCAGCCCTCCTCAGTAGAACAGATACACGATTATCCAACACCTTGGTTTGCACCCAGGTGTTCTCACTTCAACAACAATAACAAAATACCAAAATCCCTCTACTAACCTCTATGTACATACCCTGTATGTTTGGCTTGAAATGTCCAGCAAACCACATTTTGTTCTCTCAAAATACTCTGATCGAGACAGAAAGAAGAAATCACAGATTCCAAATAAAAAGTACCCCTGAAGCACAATATTACAGTGCCCTTAAAATTTAATTTCTATTAAAAATTGGGCTCATTTTCATCTCAGCCTAATTGTTTCCAGCCCTAAATCCCTTTGATTCATTTATCACTGGTAAAAAGGGCAATAAGATGAGGAACTGGTTGTTTTCTTGTGTTAAAAATGCTTTATGGCTTTGTACACAAGATCTGTATATGCATAAATAAGTAAAGCACCTTGTTCAGAAAGTATAAAGAATTTTAAGACGGAGAAAGTAGAGCACTGAACCAAATGCATGGCTTTTGTAAGCCTGAGGCCCTTTGCCTGCCCATGAAGCTGATCCTAGTCAAGAGTTATCCCTGTGACTTAAAAGAATTGGGGTGATTGTAATTTTCTGTCCTGAATTTTGTGGTCAGGAATGATCCTGAGAAGCAGCCTGAGGGGAAAAAGAAGTGGCTTAAAATGAGCCCATAAACACTCACCCCGGTCACCTAGGCAAGTTCCTAGAGGCTGCCGGCCCCATTTGCACAGCCTTCACTGCAATTGGAAATCTGGAGGCTTCCCATTCCCCTCAGGAGCTCGTCCTTTGAACTTGATTTGACCTCCATACAAAGCACCAGTATGATTTGCCCTGGACTCTGCACCTCTAGGAACTCATGGTGCTGAAATTAATCCACCATAAAGAATAGCATGATGCTCTCTCAGCACTTACGGGTTGAGGAATTTTCTCTCCCCTTCAGCAAAGGAGCAGAAGGCAATTCAGTTGCTCTCTGCTCATCTGGATAAGCTTTGGATGTCATTTTGTTGCATTGCACGGAAGCAGAAGGACAGAATTGATTTGACAGAGCAGTTACTAAGTGAAATCCCCCAACCTAGCTGGCAAGAGCCATAAGAGAGGCATACTAAGCAGACAATACAAATTATAAGAGCAATACATTATACATCATGTACTTGAAACTCCTGGTTTAACCAAGGACATAAATATACATGTGGCATTGGATTGCACTAACTGGGTTCCACATTGCTATATGACACATGGTTATAGAAGAAATTAACCTTCAGAAATGGTGTTCCCAAATTAATATTATTTTTTAGCAAATGACAGCTTACTAAACTGTGGGCCATCAGTGGGCCAATTCCTTTATTTTTCTTCCTTCTACCAAAATTTAATACCTCCATATCAATAAAAATACGAATAAATAGCAGTATCATATAGACTTATTATAATAAAATATAAGTTCAATTTGATAGAACTGTGTATTATTTCAAGTTCAAAAATCTTAACAATAATGAAAAGATGTTGCAAGACTGAAATATTACTTTAGCACTTAGTCATCTCACTATGAGTGTTAACATCATTTTAATGCTGGATTGTACATTTGCATGTAACATCAGCATGGTTTCAACATAATTTGAAGTTTTATTATTATGCTAAATTTGACTAGTTTTAAAACCTGCTAGCTATTAAAGATTGACAGGGAACTTTTTTCCCCCTGAAGAACTGATCATTTGTGTCTTGAACTATCATTTTTCCCTTTACTCTATTTCAATTCAAGCCTTAGTGATCTTAATAAATATAATTTTATTTTATTTATAGGATTCCAAAACTATTTGTTTTTACATACTTTTATAGTAGGATTGTAGCCCCACTTGATATAACATGAGATGCTTTGAGTCATCTAACTTGTGATTACCACTCTTACTAAATATAAAATTATCTTCCAAATTATAGAATTACAAAACAATATCTTACATCTATTTAATACTTTATAGTTTAAAAAGCATGCCCACATATTATTTCATTTACTTTTTTCTTGAAAGATCCCACTTTATGGATAAAGGTTAGAGAGGCTGAATCACAGTAAGTGGTGACACTCAACTTAAGCCAGTTCTTCCAAATCAGCCAGTGTGCTTGCGTTTTGCCTGCTACACAGACCATGGTGCTGAGTAACTTGAAGGGAACTAAAACTGGAGGAGATTATGCTAAGTGAAATAAGTCAAGCAGAGAAAGTCAATTATCATATGGTTTCACCTATTTGTGGAACATAAGGAATAGCATGGAGGACATTAGGAGAAGGAAGGGAAAAATGAGGGGGGGAATTGGAGGGAGAGATGAACCATGAGAGACTATGGACTCTGAGAAACAAACAGGGTTTTAGAGGGGAGGGGGGAGGAGGGAGGGGGGATTGGTTCCAAGATACAAAAGATATCTTTGGTGCAGTGTAAGTGGACATTTGTGAAGAACAGGGTATTACTATGGGATAGAAATTGGTTCATCTGAGATCAAAGTTTAGCCAATATATGAGCACAATATTTTTCTGAGAAAAGGAATTTCTTTTCAAACTCCCCTACTAGTCTATATCTGTTTGGGAACAGTGCCTGGCACATGGTAGCTGCTTTGTAAATATTTGTTGAGTCTAAGGAAAGTAATTGCATCTGTTCTTGAATCCATATCTGAATTTTAACACTGATTCCCCCTCCCAATTGGACTTCGATCGTGCAGTGCCATCGGTAGTTTTCTCATGGAATAAAATTAAAGGCCTGTAATAATATCATTTTTTTCTACATATCTTTTTTTTTTCTGCATGATACAGAACTATTCTATCTTTAAGTGACTTCAAAGCCACATTTTTCTTACTGATATTGTTGAACTGAGTTTAAGCAACACTTGTCCAGAATGCACAGTTATTAATTTTCAGGTTCCAAGATCATTCTCTGGGTTTGAAAATCTGCAAGCTGATTTAGCTTAATGCCTCTTTGTGTTGGAAACTTGCGATGGATTATTGTGTCCCCTGAGAGTAATTCTATTTTAAATGATAAATAATATAACAGCTTTTGTATTTCATGTTTCTCAGAAATATAGTTTGTAGAGTGTCTAACCTCACCTAAAGCCAGATTCCATACTTTTATTCTAATTATATTTTTACTGTGCAAAAACCATTAAGTACTCATTAAATTTATTTTTGAGAAAAAGGAATAAAATGTGCAGGAGATATGAAATGGGAAAACAGTGGTCAGACATGTGCAAAACACACCTTTTTAGAACCTGTTATTGATCTCATCCTGTTCTTATACCCTCTTCCCTGTGGTGGCAGAAAATACTTGATCCTGACACTTAAAAGTAGTTTCTTCCCCTTTTAAACAGTGATTTTAAATAATTCTGTCAGTCTTTCTGCTTCTCTCCTTGCTCTTGGTGCAGAGGCAAGTTTAAGGGCCTCATGGAAAAGCAGGAGCGGTGTTTTGGCCTCTCTCTGTCCTCTGAGTCCTCCCTGGATGGACTGCAATGTTGCTTGGCCCCTTGGTCTCTGGGGTGCTGGGCTGATGGCCCCAAGAGTGTGGCTGGTCCCGCCCATGCCTCTGACATTGAGGTCTCTGCCTTCTTCCTCCATTGCACCCTGACCCCAGGCATTTCTCACCATCAGACCACTCAATGTTTCTAAATGAATGAATGAATGAATACATCTCAGGCTTAAACCATCATCTCTTCTCCTCCTTCCAAACCTATCTTTTCCAACTTGTTCCTGTTCATCACAAATCAGCTAGATGGGAAGAGGGAGGAGAGTTGGTGGGAGGGATGAGGCTGGGCAGGGGAGTGAGCTGATGGAGAGGTCACCATAATTCAATAAAGTGATCTAATCTAGTAGAACATTAAGTATCATTTTGTTGTTATTTATTCCTTTTATTAGAAAAATAATGTGATCATATTATAAGTAAGTTGGAATAAAGTAAATAATAAAGACAATAATTCCACTACTCCAACCTGACTTCTATTAACATGTTGGTATATATTTCTTCTGTCATTTTCCCCATTCATAATAACTTAAGCTGTTAAACAAATTTTAAAATATTTAGCATTTCTTCTATTGGAGAATAATAGTACTTGAAACAAATGCACTCGATTATTCCATCAACTAATATTTACTGAGTTCCAAATATATGCAAATCACATGCTAAGTACCATGGAGATATGAAAGATAATTCAAACACACTTCCTACCCCCCAGAAACTTACCACCTAAAAGGAGAAATAGACTTGTACATAAATATGCAAAAGCTAGCAAGTGATAAGAGCCATAACAGAGTTAGAGACTAACTGCTCGGGAGAATCACATTTCTGTAATTTCACTTTGAAACATGTGGGAATCACACACCAATACATAAACCATTAATAATGTAAGTACTAAATGCCAAGGCATTTTTAATGGTTTCATCTTATGATGGTCATTAATAGCAATATTTTCTACTAGATTTTTTTGCTATTCAACATACATTTTCTAGGTACTGAAGTTTTATTTATTCATTAAAACAGTCACATGAAGTCATCTGTGAGATTTCCCGACTCACTTTGGAATGCTTTGTTGCTTTTAGATGCCATTTTCTGAGCTTATAATATATTCATTACACTTCTCTTCAGATAACTTGATGTAGTTGATGTAAAAAATACTAAGAAATCCCTAAGTTGTGGTGGGCAATACAACTGAGTACGAAGAGTTTTGTACATGGCATGGAAGCCAAACTGGTGTTCTGTCCGAACATACGCTTTCCCAAAGTATTTCTATTCTTCCCAGACTTTAGAGACTCAATGACTCTAAAATCCATACCTTGTCACATCACGACCTTGTTCTCCTAGGAAAGGGTGTGACAGTCTCGGTGGTTTTCAAACCAAATACCATCAACCGTTTTGTGTGGTTCTAGATTGTACCGAATACCTGTGATTTGGACTAAAAAAATATTTCATCTTGTTTACCAGTTTTTATGCCAAATGATAAAACTTCTGGTGGCAGGCTCATACATATTTTATTAGGTTTTATATATGCATTAAGCTCAGGAGGTGTCTTATTTTCATGAATTTATTACAACAATTTAAGTAGTAGTAATAATAATAATTTGCATTTAAATAATTCTTTTCTCCTGAGAACTCTGAGTGCTTTTGCACATCAATTAATGCCTGATGGCAGTGTCATTATTCCCAACTTTATTTTATTATTCCATCTTTATAATGTGTTGCTCTGGGTTTTTGTTTCTAGCTGATGTCAATTACCGAGCTGGCTATTATCAGACCTCACATTTACCTCCAAGACCAGCCCTTTTTGAGGATTAATTACATAACAGAATGATTCTGCTCAGTAGAAACTCTATGAAGTTCTGCTTTCTCCAGATACAGATTACAAATCACCCCATGGCTTCACTGTCCATCAAAATCTTATCTATACCATAGACGACATGTTACCAAGAATTGCCAAAAGTTATTTTCCTATCATTCACAACTTTTCCCTTATAACCATCAAATGCCTCATATAAAGAAGTTATTTACACACTACAAAAAAAAATAGTACCTTTGAAATTGTCTTCCTCGGGGTTGTTGCATTTCTCTTCTCTAAAAATAGAGGTGCTTAACTGGGGATTCGTAGACAGGGTTCGAGGGTCTGTGAATTTCTAGAAAGTCCCAAAAGGGAAAGGACAAAACACAAGAGAGGTCATCACAGTGGTTGGAGCCAAACTTTTGAACCTGCTTTTCTGGGGGTACCTGCTTGGGCTTAGGATCCAGTTTTGTTTTGAGGAGCCAACCAGGGCCCCAGTTTGAGGGGTCTTAGGGAATTGATTGTGAATTCAGAGTTACTTCTCTGATCATCTTTTCACATTTTTAAAAAAATTTTTTTTTAAGATTTTATTTATTTATTTGAGAGAGAGAATGAGAGACAGAGAGCACGAGAGGGAGGAGGGTCAGAGGGAGAAGCAGACTCCCTGCTGAGCAGGGAGCCTGATGTGGGACTCGATCCCCAGACTCCAGGATTATGACCTGAGCTGAAGGCAGTCGCTTAACCACCTGAGCCACCCAGGCGCCCCACCTTTTCACATTTTTAAAAAAACCATAATTCTGTTATGCTTAGCTCCTTATAATAAATTCATTCTCTTTGAAATAACTTCCTAAAAGATGAGGAAATCCTATTACATGCTTCATCTAGGGTCTTTGTTGCTGTCAATATTTAAAACAAATAATTCACAAATGCAACTCTTCTGTTTTAGAATGAAAGCTACATGAGGAAGAATAGACAGAAGGAATATCAGGCCTCTATCAGTTTTTGACATAATAGTCACTGTATGCATGCTTCTGCCAACCCCTAGATGGTAAATTACTGTAAATTAGCTCTGCCAAGTGCCCGGTTTTTAGAATCTATACTACTGCATATTTCATGAGTTTGCTTTTGAAGCCAGTATCTCATTTCTGGCTACTCCAGGGAAACCCCAAACCACTGGAAATTTTAGCATGTGCCAAAGTCTTACAATTTACAAATTTTGTTTGAAACACCAGTCTTGTGTCTGCTAGAGTCCATCTATTTAAAATGGGCAAATACATAAAAAAAATAAAACTACCTCTTAGCTATTTCAAGTGTTCATAGGCTGGTTCAACAGACTAGGGAATTTTGATGATTGAAATTCTAATAATTTTTATTGATTACATACCATGGGCAGAGCACTGTAAGGGGGATAGAAAAAATTAACGTACCAAAAACTTGATGCCAGATATTTTTTAAAAACATGGTGTCTAAATGTTAAGATAATCCTGTCAACTACGAATTATTATCCTGGTTTTATAGACAAGTAATTGAAGCTCAGAAAAGATTAATAAATGATTGGAATTCACCCAGCTTTTTAAATATAAAACCATGGTTCAAATCGATCTGCTAATTCCAAACCCTCCCCCTACTCCTTTGACTGCCTTCATAATTCACTGTCCTCTTAAAGTTCTGGGTCACTTTTCATTTAGGAGTTTTATCCTTTGGTACAATCTCATTTTTAAATGAATCAATGGTAAGCCAACATTTTTTATGGAGCTTCTCCATGAATTTAGAAATAGATATTGTTTAGATAGACACTGTTTTAACTATTTTTTTTAAGACTGTGGGCTTTGGGACACAACAGTAATATGAAAGATCACATCCCTTTGCTTTGAGATGTTTCTCATTTTTTATTTAGCCAAGATATAAATACCTGTTCAGTGCATAACCTGTTTAGTTATTTTGAATAAATTAACCAACTGAGTCAGTTTAAAAAGCAAAATACCCATTAAAATGACTTAAAAAAAATTTGATAATACCAAATGCTAGCAAGAATGTGAAATAATAGAAACTCTCACTCATTGTTTGTGGGAATGGAAAATGGTACAGCCATTTTGGAAGGCAGTTTGGCAGTTTCTTACCAAACTAGCATAGTCTTACTACGCAATCTAACAATTGCAGTCCTTGGTATTTTCCCAACCTGCATACAAATGTTTATAGCAGATTTATTCATAATTGCCACACACTGGAAAAAAACAAGATGTTCACAAAATGGTGAATGGATAAACAAACTGCGGTACATCCATCTTATGGAATATTATTCAGTGACTTTAAAAGTGAGCTATTAAGACTCAAAAAAAAAAAAATTGAGGAAACTTAAGTGCATACATCTTAGTGAAAGAAGCCAGTCTGAAAAGTCAATATTCTATATGATGCCAATTATATGACAAGTTTGGAAAAGGCAAAATATGGAGACAGTAAAAAATATCCATGGTTGCCAGGAGTTAGGGAGGGGAGGAAAGAGAGATGAATAGATGGAACACAAGGGATTTTTTAGGGCAGTTAAACTATTTGGTATGATACTATAATAGTGGGTACATGACATTACTAAAGGAAAACTCTATTTCCTCTCCTCACTACACTAGACACCAAATGGAGTGGGGGGTGGGGAGAGTTCCCACAGTAACCAGTTCTCCAACTCTCCAGACACCAAATGGGTGTCCTACAATTCCATTCTGACACTAACTACCCAGAGTTCATGCAGACCCCGCAAGTTAGGTCTCAGTTCCACAAGAGTATCTCTTTACTTCAGAGGCCAATCACAAGTAGTGGGTCCCCAGGGTCACACTTCTGTCTGACTTGGCTATAAATTGGGGTTCCCCCACCTTGTCCTCAGGTTTGATAATTTGCTATAATGATTCACGGAACACAGGAAAACACATTTACTGGTATGTTATAAAGGATATAATGAAGGATACAAATGAACAGCCAGATAAGGAGGTACACAGGGCAAGGTCCATAAGGTTCCTGAATGCAGGAGCTTCTGTCCCTGTGGAATTGGGGTGTGCCACCTTCCCAGTATATGGATGTGCTCACCAACCTGGAAGCTCTCCGAACCCCTTAGTTTAGGGATTTTTATGGAGACTTCATCATGTAGGCAAGATCAATTATTCATTCAGTCTCCAGCCCCTCTCCCCTCCCCAGTAGATGGAGGGTGGGGCTGGAAGTTCCAAGTTTCTAATCATGACTTGGATCTTTCTGGTGACCAGGCCCCATCCAGAAACTATCCAGGAGCCCACCCAGAGTCATCTCATTAGAGCAAAAAATGTTCTTCTCACCCAGGAAATTCCAAGGGGACTAGGAGCTCTGTGTACGATGCTCCTATCATCCCCATCACACAGGAAATCACAAAGGCTTTAGGAGTGTCATGTCAGGAATTGAGGGTCAAACACTAAGTATTAGAAAAAAAGATGCCCCTAGCACCCCATCACCCAGGAAATTATAAAGGTTTTAGAAGCTGTGTGTCAGGAACTAGGAAAAAAACACCAAATTTATATTTCTTATTGTGTCACAGGAGGATACACAACATTATACATTTGGCAAAACCCATAGGACTATACAATACAATGCTGAACCCTAATGTAAATTTGTTAATAATAATGTATCAATATCGGTTCTCCATTGTGACAAATGTATCACGCTAATGCAAGATCTTAATACAGGAGAAACTGTGAGCCAGGGAGAGAGGGGTATATAGAAACTTTCTATACCATCTGTTCAATCATCGGCAAACCTAAAACTGCTCTAACAAAACAAAGCCTATTAATTTTTTAATGTTTTTTAATTAATATTTAATCTTTTAAAAATTTTAAAAAGATTTTGTTTATTTATTTGAGAGAGAGAGAGAACATGCGCATGCCAGTGGGGAGAAGAGCAGAAGGTGAGGGAGAAGGAGGGGGAAAGAATCCTCAAGCGGACACCATGCTCAGTGCAGAGCCCGACACGGGGCTGGATCTCACCACCCTGAGATCATGACCTCAGACGAAACCAAGGGTTGGATGCTTAACCAATGGAGTCACCCAGGTGACCCCTTTTATTAATTTTTTTAAAAAAGGAAAAGAAATTTAAAAAGTCAATGAGGTTGGTTGTGAAACTGGTCAATGAAAAATTTGATGAAACATTTAATGAGAGGAACTTAGGTATAGAAAAAGTCTAATTAAATCATTGTTTAACAATCCATGTTTGATCAGAACTGTCTGCCTTGAGACCATTCCAGAAGCAGCTATCGTCTCCATAAAATAAGATAATCTACACTGATGTCAACCATGGGCAGATATAGATATGAAAGATAATGCTACATATTTTTAAAACCAGTGACTCCCTGAGGTCTTGTTTCATTTTCACAAAACTTATTCTATCTGAACTTTGAAATCTCATTGAGGCTTTGTCCAAATAGTAAAAGCAGTCTAGGGTGCCCATAGAGAAAGGTAGAAATAATTATGTCAATTTAAGCTACGTGAGCCAGAGGTTTTTTTAAATTTTATTTTTAATTTTTTTTAAGATTTTATTTATTTTTTGACAGAGAGAGAGACAGTGAGAGAGGGAACACAAGCAGGGGGAGTGGGAGAGGGAGAAGCAGGCTTCCCGCAGAGCAGGGAGCCCGACGTGGGGCTCGACCCCAGGACCCTGGGATCATGACCTGAGCCAAAGGCAGACGCTTAACAACTGAGCCACCCAGGCGCTCCTAGAATTCTCATTTTAAATTTTATAGAGCTATTATTCATATGTCAGTGATAAGAAACTTACATATAAAATTATGTTTTAATCCTAAGATGCATTATAGTGAGGCTTTTAGGTTTAGTTCAGTCTCCTCTTTCTATGAAACGCAGACTCAGAGAAAACACAGACTCTATCAAATGCCAGTTCTCAAGTCTTAGGATTTTGACTCCACTACTCTTTTCATAAAAATATACAATCTTTATATGATTTATAGGCCTTACAGGCATCTTATTCTGCTAGGTAAGGAATGAGTGTGTCCTATAACTGCTGACTCCGTAACCATATCTCTGGAGTCTGGCCTTCCCATCTGCAAAAGCCAGAACCTGGGCTCTACTGTTTTAATAAATATGTTTTAAAATTACTATAAAAGTAACATGTAATCATTGTAGAAAATTTAACAGAAGGAGAAGCAGGAGGAGGAGTGGGAGGAGTTGGAAGAAGGGGAAAGGAAGGAAGGAAGGGAAGAAAGGAGAAAAAAAAGAAAAATCATTTACAACCTCACCACTCTGAGGTAAGGAAGGTACACATTTTAGAGCTTATCATCATGGATGGTTTCTAATATTCTACACACTCTTGTAACTTGCCTTTTTCTACTTAACATCTTTCCGTGGGAAGCAGTGTAGCTAGAAAGAGAAGGTAGCAGAAACTTGTAGCTAGTGGACAAAGGTGCAAGCTCTGGAACTAGAATTGCCTGGTTCACGTCCTGGATCAGCTCTGTGGCTGTGTGACCTGGAGCAGACGGCTCCGCCTCTCTGTGTCCTCAGTTTCCCATCTATAAAATGGTGATGACAGTAGTAACTATTTCTTCATAGGGTCCATTACGGGGATTCAATGGCTTAATATATCTAAACCACTTATAACAATGCCTAGCACAAAAGTATACTCTGTATCAGGGGACAAGAGTAAAGAACTAGAAAGTAACTATTTTAGCCATTACTGGGCTTATGGTTTCTGGTGGAACTCCTCCACACTACCTTTGTGGGACGAAAGCAGCCATAAAAGAGTGAGTATGGCTGGGTTCCTATTAAACTCAGTGGACACTGAGTTTGAATTTCATATAATTTTCACATGTCATGACATATTCTTCTTCTTTTGATTTTTTTCAACTGATAAAAAATGTAAAAGTCATATTAGCTCTTGGGCTGTACAAAAATGGACAGTGGGCTGAGCCTTTATACCACAGTTTACCAACCTCTGTTCTATATAATAAATTCACATTATTATATTTCTAATATTTCTACAAAACATTTTTGTAAGTAGACTCCAGGCTCAACATGGGGTTCTAACTCTCGATCCCAAGATTTAGAATGGCAGGCTCTACTGACCGAGCCAGGTAGGAGCCCCTCTACAGCCTTTTTTTTTTTTTTTGGCTGCTTAGAACAAGATTGTTTGGATGTTCTATAGTTTACTTAGTCCCCTCTGGTTAGAATTTAGCTTATTTCCACTGTTCTTTATTATAAGCTATTCTCCAATGCATATCCATGCATAATCTTTGTGCACATTTATTATTGTATCTACATCTTAAAATGTATTTAGTGGTAGCTACCAATTGGCTGGCAGAGCACCTAAAAAGAAACAGACTCTGAAGAAGTAGCCCTGAAAATTAACCTTGTTTAGTTATAACAAATTTCAAACATGTTAGAGAAGGAGCTTATCAGTATAATGTATATTCATATACATAGAACTTACTATGTACCACATCCCATTCTAAGCCTTTTACATATATTAAATCATTTAGTCCTCAAAACACTCCTATGAGACAGGTGCAATCATGATCGTTATCATCATCATCCCCATGGTACAAAAGAGGAAACCGAAGCACAGAAAAGCTAAGTAACTTTCCAAGGTCACACAGATAGCTGGTGGCCGAGACCGGTTTCAAACCCAGCCTGTCCAGCACTAGGCCCCATGTTCTTGAACACTGTGTGGCCCTGCCCCTTCCCTGGAGGGATTTGGCGAGTACCTACCTGATAAATGTACCTGTTGTCTTTTTCATGTTTAGATCATGTTTGGCACGCACAATCGACCTCATACTCTAATATTCGGCACAAATTGTATCCCACAATGGGACATTTCGAGTGGAAACTGAATGTCCATCTAACCTCCTTCCTCTTTTGTCCTCCAACCCTTCCCCCCATGCCAACTTTTCATTAATTTGCCCTGCATTTCTTACCCAAAATAGGTGTCCTCATTGAATAGTAAAGATTGATTGGAGCATACTTTCATATCTTGTTTTCCAACTTATGGTCCCAAATCTACCAAATTCACTTGGCAATTTCTGGTGGAGCTTCGCTTTAAGCGGAGGGCCCTGAACCGCCACGGGAATGCACATTTCGGGTAAGTACCCTCCTTCTTTGAAAACAAACAGTGGCTTGTGTCAAGTCTCTCCCGCGTGGCCCCCGCAGCAACAGGGCTGGCTCGGGTGGCTTGTTCCGACCCCTAGCCGGGTTCCCGAGGACGGTGTCCTGCGTCAGTGTGAGCCAACCCGCCGGCCTCCGCCGCAAGGCTCGGAAGCTGAGTTGCGCGCTCTCCTGGCCCTTCCTGCTGTGCTGAGACGCGAGCGAGTGTCCCAGAAAGGAGTTATGCAAGTGGGTCGTTCGACTTTGAGGGGAATGAAATTCTAGTTCTCATTTTTATCCTGCTTTATCTCCCTGCTGGGATCCTACTGCTGGAGTTATCCCCATGGAGATGAGCCACCAACGCCGCTGGTCCTAAGATGTTGCCCGCCCCCCCCTCCACGCCCCCACGGATGCCCAAACAAGGACAGAATCGAGAAGTAGAGAGAAAACAGGGAAAGAAAAAAGCGGGTGTTTCAAACTGATCACGGTGGTGCAGACGCGGCGGGGGAGCTGGAGCAGCCGGGCGGGGAGTCGGGCCGAGGCCCCGGGCTCCGCCCGCCGGGGGGCGCCGGGGCGCCGGGCGCCTGCGCGGTGCAGCCCCAGCCCGGGCAGCCACCGTCGCGATGCCTATTTTAGTCAAAGCCGCTGCCGGCGCGGGGACCCGGCACCAGCCAAGGAGGCTCCGGACCCGCGATCCGCTGAGGCTTTCGCCTCGGGCGCCCGTCGAGCCGCCGCGTCGCTGTCCCCGCGCCCTGCCACTGTCTCCCCAAACTTTGGCCAGCACCGCCCAGGTTCGGTGCCAGGGACAAGCCAGGTAAGGAGCGGGAGGCGTAGCTGCCGGCGGCTCCCCCCGCGCGCCCGGCTATTTGCAGCCTCAGGCTCCCGGGGCTAAATCGGGAAGCAAAGTTGGACCGCTGCTCGGCTGGGAACAACTTTGTCAGCCCCCGAGGCTGCTGCGGGTTCTCCGCGCCCGGGCCGCCAGGAGCCCGTGCCCTCTCCTCCCTGGTCGAGCCCTCGCGGGGTTCCCTGTTCTTGGAAGCCGCCTTTCTCCCGCGTCAGGGGTCCACCGCCACAGACCCTCAGGTGTCAGCTGTTGCAACACGGGTCTGGCAGCGCCAGCGGTCCCCGGGCGCTCCAGCCCCCTCGGGTGCCGGTTCCCGCGCTCTGCCTCGGGCAAGCCATTGGTGAGCTCGGCATCTCCTCCTCCGACTGGACGCCCGGGGCTCCCGGCCCCTAACCCACTAAAGGCTCCTCCTCGCCCGCTATAGGGCCGCCGGGTCTCCTGCTGAGGCTGCGCGCAGCCGGGCGCCCTGTGTGGCCTGCCCCGGCCCGGCGCTGGGATTGCCAGGTCGGGCACGGCGCTCATTTGCACACCCCTCGTGGCCCGAGCGTTCGAGTCAAGAGAACAGTAGACACTGATTCTCCTTTAAAGAGCGAGGTGAGCGGGCTCCCTGGGGAGAACCGATGGCTGGGGAACCCGTGAACCTCGCTACCCGCCCGCGCCCTGGTTTCTGAGGCATTGGGAAACGTGTTGTAGGCCAGACACGTCCCAGAAACTGCTTGCTTTGAAGCAAGAGTAAGTGCGAGAAGACTCTTGGCAACGTAATACCCTTTGCCATTCCGCGGATGTACAAAGGTTCAGTTCGATTTACAGAATGAATCAAGTCTGCCAGCACGACTTTTGCTCATTGCTGCCTTTTCATTTTTGTAATTTGATGAAGGGTTAATGTTAGTTTCACCATGTAGCTATTTAATCCTACAGACACCTATTTGGAAAGGGATAGATAAACAGAACTTTACCAGAGCAGGTAATTAAAGGAATTAGACTCTGAAGAACTAATAGGAGAAAGAAAATTTCTCTTGATTCAGTCAAAATTAACCTGAACGTTTAGCAGTTTTTCAGTCTAGCCGTCCTCCTTAGACTCATTGTGGATATAAGGATAGTTCAGTGTAAACGACTTAAATCCATTAAAAGTGATCAAAGGGAGCCGAAACTAGTAAAATCCAGTCAATATAATTGACAGTAGGTAACTGGCATTTCAAAATTGACATAGAGATAAATACACATAGATAAATAATAGACAGATATACAAATAAATAATAAATTATATAATAAATGTATTATACAATGTTAGCTATTCTACAAGCTGTAATACATATAGAAAATAAAATATGTATATAAATACCTATATCTTTAATAAGGTGTGGTGCATCAATATGTTGTGGGATGATCCCACCTTTTAAAAATTTCTATTGCTGGGGCTCCTGGGTGGCTCAGTAGTTAAGCGTCTGCTTTAGGCTCAGGTCATGATCCCAGGGTCCTGGGATCGAGCCCTGCATCGAGCCCCGCATCGAGCCCCGCATCGGGCTCCCTGCTCAGCGGGGAGCCTGCTTCTCCCTCTCCCACTCCCCCTGCTTGTGTTTCCTCTCTCACTGTGTTTCTCTGTCAAATAAATAAATAAAATTTAAAAAAAATTCCTATTGCTATTTCCCTGGTTTTTGTGTCAGTAGATCGTAGTTTTCCTATTATTTCTCTTGGAGCAGAAGTTGGTACCTTTAGTGCCACTTGAAGAACTTTTAAAAGCCTGAAATTGAGCTAGAGTGGATTAGTTGGTAATACAGGTGTAACTGGGTGGATATGAAGGGGAATATGTATTGACTAACTTATTATATAAATGTGTATTAGAGCCTCAAGCTATTAAAACTTGAAGGGGTTTCAAAGACCATCCAGTCCAGCTAACTCTATTCCCGGGAAGAAGCCGACCCAAGGAGCGGAAGTGACTTTCTTTAACTTATGTGGCTCCCCAGAGCTTTTGGTATAGAACTTGACTTTCTTAGTCCCCGCAACGCTGGGCACTTTCCTGTCTTTACTACTGAGGTTTGGAGAGACTGAAGTGATTTCTAAAAATGTTTGTCATATCTGTGTCCCTTCTGTATGGCTTTCACCTCTGGCATTCTCTGCAGAGTCTAGGCCTTGGGTATACATAGATGAATAGGACATCACCTCTGCCTCATAGAGAACACAGGATAGTTAGAAAAGCAAATAGGACAATGGAAGTAGAAGCACATTCTAAAGTGCCATAGAAATGTAGTTATTATTAGTTTAGGTAATGCTAATGCATAAGCTGACATTGACACTAGTTTGTGAGTGATAGAGGACCTTGAATATCATTCTCCCTCCTGCAGAAATTATAGGATTAATTCTCATTTGGTCCTTGAAAGCAAACTTTATAAATGGAATTATTCAAATAATGATACCTCTCACCCCAATAGGCTTATATTTTTATTGATTTAAACATTTGGAAAGTAGTTGAATTTATGTAGTTTCTTTCCTTTTTGCAGAAAATCAATATCTAAGTCAACTATTTATGAACTATTTCAGAATTATATGAAGAGATATTTAATTGACTCAATCATTTCATTCATAGTTTGTAATGCATGGACTTTTTTTTTTATCATCTTGAGAGATGTAGAATTCTTTCAGATTTGTCTAATAACATCCTTTCAAAATGCCCAATCTATACCAATTATTCTACCACCTAAAACCTTTACTTTGATATGATGGAAAAAAAATGAATGGAAAAATAAGGTTAATTGTGTGACCTTATTATGGAAAGACATTATTAGATTAAATTTAAAGATTTTTTTGGTCCCCATTTGGAATTCTTTTTCTGAAATGGAATAATTCATATAATCTTTAAACCTACGTGTTTTTTTTTGTCAGAGACCAATTTGTATAATTAATAATAGAAAGAGTTTTTTAAGAACCAGAGATAGAGGACAGGTAATTTAGTTAGGAAATGGTGCCACTTTGTGTTAAGGTTTAGGTAAGCATGTGCAAAATGTGTACTCTTTGAAATGTATTTGCTACAGATTTTAATATTAAATAGTTGAATGTATATTCATTACCTCTCCTACATATAAGTAAACCACAAGTTTACTACTTTTTAATTCGTAACGTGCTACCTAGTAGAGTTTTTATGGGAAAGAAAGTAGAGATTTAAATTGGATAATGGAAGGAAGAGTAAATTTTGTATCTCTCTGTGTATATATAAATGATTAGTAATGTATTTATTATGTGTATATATGATAATAGAGAATGTATATACATATGATACAATGATTTAATGACAGTATATAAATAGAGCCTTCTAAATATCCTAAGCCTTCAAATAGTAAATATGAGAGGGTTAATTTTTTTGAAAGTACTTAAAAAATCAGTTTTTCCAATCCTTTTTTCTGTGTTTGGATTCAGTGTCATAGTGAGAATGTGATGGAAGACTGTAATTGCTGTGGTTTATGAACATTGGTGATTGTCTTTTAGACTAGTTAATTTCTCGTTCCTCTTTCCCCCACCATGTATGTTTATTTGCAGATATATATATCAGTGAATAGTTGTGCACTATGCTAAATATTTTATATATTTCATTAGAAAGTCAAATGAGGTATTACTATCATCATTTAACAGATAATAACACTCAATATGTGACTGGTAGGGTTCAAACCTGGGTCTAATTCATAAGCACCAGAAAAGTCTATCTACCAACATTTAGTTCACAGAAATCATTTTGATACAATGCCTATAGGGGTAGTAAGGTACAGCTGCCATTTTTATGATTGTCCTCTTGTTTCTTTGTTTTTACAGGGATTTTCAAGATGAATTATACCGAGTCCAGCCCTTTGACAGAATCAACTGCAATAGATTTTACACCTGAGTTAGAAAGTATCATACCTGTGCCTTCCAATGAGACCACATGTCAAAACTGGAGAGAGATACATCACCTAGTTTTTCATGTAGCAAATATTTTTTTCACAATTGGGTTGGTTATTCCAACTACTCTCCACCTTCATATGATACTCCTTAGGGGAATGTTAACTATAGGTAAGAATACCTACCTAATCAAGACGTTTGTAACTTCTCTGGAACTGGCATCAGATAGGCTTTGTGTTGGGGGCTTCAGGGCATTTCTTGTCAGGTCTATAGCATACCAAAAATATAGGTCTCTGTCGGCAAATTAGCAGTACGTATATCAGGTAACTTGCAACGTAGGCCTTTACATGCCCTTATTTATTTTAGAGAAGACTGTGTGTGTTTTCTTTTTTTTTTTTTTTTAAAGATTTTAGTTATTTATTTGACACAGAGAGACAGCCAGAGAGAGAACACAAGCAGGGTAAGTGGGAGAGAGAGAAGCAGGCTTCCCACCGAGCAGGGAGCCTGATGCGGGGCTCGATCCCAGGACCCTGGGATCATGACCTGAGCCAAAGGCAGACGCTTAACGACTGAGCCAACCAGGCACCCCATGACTGTGTGTGTTTTCCATATTGTTTAGATTTTCCAGATATCAAAAACTCCATTTGTATGTAGGAGTGTGTGATCCAAATCCTGGTTCCACCA